TGGGGCATTCAGGGTCTGGGGATCTGGGGCTTTGCTCATGCTTAGGGAGTTTTGTTGATAGGAAGCAAGGGTTGCTCTTCCAGGGCGACACCAAGAACGACACATGGCTCTTTGTGCTAACCGTACTGCTCTCCAGCACCCTGATCTACAACAGCAAAGGCACAATTGACCAGCAAGCCATGGACCAGCTGCAGTATCCTTGGTGGGACGGCAGCACCAGGCATGCCCTCCTCTGCCTGTGTGGTAGGCTAGGCGTTGACAAATCCCAGCTCCTCAAACAGCTGCAGAACCTTCTGCTGGCGCCCTGCGATGTGCTTGGAGTCCTCAGAAGTCCCATGTTGTGGCCCTCAGGGCTGAGTGGTTTTTTTTCCCTCCTCCTGGTGGTTCCAGGCTCTCCTCTGTCCCCGCAGTCTCCTCTCTTCCCCAGAAAGTGCTGAGTGGTTGCAGGATGGCGATGCCCCTGCATTCAGAGCGGAGGTCCCTCTTTCCTTAGCCAGCTCCCTAGCTACGTGATGAAGCTGACTGAGCATGTCAAATTGAAAGCAGCACCCAAGGAGAGCGAAGATGAACTGGAGGATTCAGAAAAATTTGTCCTTTTCTTCCCAACTTTCATCTGGGCTGTCCGGGATTTCACACTGCGGCTGGAGGTGGATGAGAAGGAAATCTCTGAGGACGAATACTTGGAGAACGCACTGAAGTTAAAGGCTGGTAAGGGAATGGTGCTGTGCTGCTGGAGACGTCCAGCCCCAGACACAGCAGCATTTCAGTGCCATTCAGCAACAGCCCCAGCCCGGTGACCATGCTCCGTGTCCTCTTTACCCACAGGCAGCAGCCCCGAGACCCAACGCTACAACCACCCCCGGGAATGCATCCGCCAGTACTTTCCAGATCGCAAGTGCTTTGTTTTCGACCCGCCGGCCAGCAGGAAGGACCTGGCCCACTTGGAGGAGCTTCAGAACAGTAAGATCAATCCTGAATTCCAGCAGCAGGTGGAGAAATTCTGCAGCCACGTCTGGGAAAAGTCTCCACCTAAGACCATCCCTGGTGGCCACATCATAACAGGGAACTGTGAGTACTGCTGTCCAGAGGGTTGGATGGCCAGCAGCTCTTGGGATTGTGTCTGGGGAAGGATCAAATGCAGAGTCAAAGGGCGCAGGAGCGGAAAGGGAGCGGTTTCTGCTGGCTGCTGTCCCTGCCTCTGGATTTGGAGCTTCTGGATGTTGCAGGCAGGGTGAGCAGGAGTTAGGCAAAGAAGTTCAGGAAGACGCTGGCAGGGAGGCAGCAGGGCTATGGCAGGACCCAGGGCTGAACGGGATGTCTCATCCTTGGTCCTCCTTGGCAGTGCTGGGGAAACTGGCAGCGACCTACGTGGAGGCCATCCAGAGCGGGGCAGTGCCATGCCTGGAGAGCGCGGTGCTTGCCCTGGCAGAGCTTGAGAATACAGTGGCAGTGAGAGAGGCTGTGACGTTGTACCAGGATCTGATGGAGCGGCGGGTGAAGCTGCCAACAGAGACTGTTCAGGAGCTACTGGAGCTGCACAGCCAGTGCGAGCGGGAGACACTGGAGCTGTTCATGGCACGGGCATTCGAAGATGGCATCTGCTCATTCCATGCAGAGCTCGTAGTAGGTGGTCCCCAGCCCAGCCAGGATTCCCCAGGGACACCATCACCCCCTTAGCTTTGGGGAAATGACATGGTCCTGGGGGCAGCGGCCTCCCTGCCTCCTGCCAGAGGACATCGCTGTGCCCTCTCCAGAGGAGACTCAGTCCCACCGCCTGCTCTCACACTCCGCAGACTGGCAGTCGTCCCTGCTGCACTAGCTCTTCTCCCTAAGTTCAAAAGCTGTGCTTTGAACGAAGCTCAGCCCTGGCCCCCCTCTCTTGCTGCGGCCCAGCTGTGCCTCTACCCTGGCTGGAAGCCTGTAGCCTTCCACGCTTCCCCTGTCCATCTGACTAAGTCTTGTCCCTGTGTTTTGTAAAGCCCGTGGTCCCTGGCACGCCCTCTGCTCCCTTGTGCACCTTGCTCCAGAGATGTATGTGGGCGCAGAATGCCCTCCCCATTTGTCACGTCCCAGCTGATTGCCTCACGAACAGGAGAGCCCGATTTCCATGTCGCCCTGGCTTGATTTTTGCTTAGCACGAGAGCGGTGGAAGCGGCTCGGCCTGGGCTGATGCCGTCCCTCTGCATCTTTCCGGACAGCGCCAGGTCGAGGCAGTCAAGGTGAAGTTCTGCGTGGACAACGAGCAGGCATCCCGTGCCAAGTGCGAGGCCGCTCTCAGGGACCTCTCCCAAGGCATGGAGAGACGAATCTGTGATGGCGTCTACAGTGTCTCGGGGGGTTACCAACTGTTCAAAGGAGACCAGCAGGCACTGGTAGAGAAATATCGGGAAATGCCTGGCAAGGGGGTGAAGGTAGGAAGAAGAGCAGCTCCCCTTCCTTCGAGGGGAGAGGCTCCATGCCCCATCCCCTTCCCCCAAGAAACTATTTCTTCCCAGCTGCTGTTTCTCCTCGTGACTCCTCTTCTGCCTGTGGTGCTACAGGCAGATGCTGTCCTGCAGGAGTTCCTCCAAAGCAGAAAGACTCTGGCCAAAAGCATCCTCAACACAGACCTCTCCCTGACAGAGAAGGACAAGGAGCTGAAAAGTAACTTCTGGGCTGGAGAAATGCCATTGCCTGTAGAGGGCCAAGCTTGATGGAGGGGGACAGCAGTATTCCTGGGGCTTGTGCGCTCAGCTCCTGCCTGTGCAACACCTCTGTTTCTCTGAAACCAGGTGAGCAAGACCAGTATGAGAGAGCTGAGCAGGAGAGGGAGGTCCAGCGGCAGAAGGAGGCTGAAGACAAGCAGAAGTTGCAGGACCAGTTACGCCGCTGTGAAGAACACGTGCTTTGGCTGAGAAAGAAGCTGGAGGATTACTCTAAGAAGCAGCTGGAGGAGCACCAGAAGATGATCGGCCATAAATCAAAGGTGGGAGAGCGCAGGTGCCAAGATGTGGCTACCAGGCAGGAACGGCAAAGGGGTCCCAGCTGGTCCCTCCCATTGCTTCTTGCCTCTGTGCCCCTCTCACTGCACGCACCGCGCCCCTGCTGACAACCTGACTCTCTTCACAGGAGGCGAGTGCATTGCTCAAAAATGGCTTCCATGAAAAAGCCATGCACCTGCACAAGGTGTCCCATAGCTTGGAGCAGGAATACTGCAGCACCAGGAACAATTTCGCACACTGGATCAGCATAATAATACCGATAATATTAAGCTTGGCATTTGCCGTGCTTCGCCGTTGAAGACCACGAAGATTTTCTTTATAACCCCTGTAGTAACAAAGAGGTGTGTAGTGTCCCCAAGTACAATTCTGTTAAAGTGTGAAATTGAATTCTAGATGCTTCCAATACAGTATGGACCTGACCTCCACGTTCACTTGTACTGCACTCTCTAGTTCTTTCACGCATGTCTCCTCCAGAAGACGTTCTCCTCTTCCCTCCCAGAGGAGCTGCTCTCTCACCTCATTTGAAGGCACGGGGAACATCTAAAGCCAAGGGTGGCCTGGGGCACAAGAAGGCCAAAATGCCAGCGGGCAGGTCTGGGAGCATTTTGCCATGCTCAGAATATCTCACTGGGGGAGCTAACCCACCTCTTCTAGAGACCGTCTCACCAGGGCTATGGGAAACATGCCCGAGAGACCTTTATGCCCACTAGCTGATAGCCTAGGGTCACACTTACTGCAACAGCATGAAGTAGCATGGAGGTTCTGAGTAGACCAGGAAGCCACGTGGTGAGCGCTACCTGGTTTGCTTGGCAGCAGTCCTGGGCAGCGTGACCCAGAAGGAGTGAGCCCATGATGCGGGGAGCAGTAGCTGAAAGCCATCCTCTGCTATGTAGCTATTCCCACCCTGGGAGGCAGGCTCTTCTCACTTTGAACCTGGTCTGAGGAAGGTCTCCCCACAGGGCTGGTCTGCTCTCTGCTGGCTCTCGCCATGTCCGTGCTGCTCCTGCTTTCTTTCTTCAGCCCAAGAGATCCCCAAGTGCCCCTTCCCAATGGTGTCTGCGGTGGTACAGCAGGAGATGGCTGCAGAGGGTTCGTGGGCGCGGTGTGTCCCATTGTGCTGGTTTTGGCTGGGATAGAGTTAATTTTCTTCCATGTTTTGGATTTGTGACGAAAACAGTCTTGATAGCATGCCCTTGTTTTCACTGTCTCTGAACAGTGCCTGCCCAGCATCAAGACCTGTTGTGTTTCTCACCCACCAGCGAGTAGGCCGGGGGTGCGCAAGAAGGCGGGAGGGGATACAGCTGGGGACAACTGACCAAAGGGATATCCCAGATCTTGTGACACTGAGCTCAAGCAATAAAAGCTGGTGGAAAGAAGGAGGAGGATGCTTGGAGATATGGCGTTTGCCTTCCCAAGCCACCTTGACATGTGATGGAGCCCCGCTTTCCTAGAGATGGCTGAACGTCTGCCTGTCGATGGGAAGGAGTGAAGGCATTCTTTGTTTGTGTGCACAGCTTTTGTTTTACCTATTAAACTATCTTTAGAGTTTATGAGTTTTTTTTCTCTTTTACCTTTCCCGTTCCTTGCCCCATTCCCCAAGATGTGTGGGGCTTAGCTGCCTACCGTGGTCAACCCGCGACACTCATGGGCAAAGGGGTTTCCCCCTCTTCCCTACAGGGAATTCCATCTTCAGCTGCAGCGTGAGAAGAAGCAGGGACACTAGCCGTTCCAGTAACGTGAAGGCCTAGACATTCTTTTGAGTCCATTATGGGCAGAGGGGCTGGTCCAAAGGCAATCACCCCAGTGGCACTAGCCCCTGAAATGCCTTTCCTACTGTGTGGGCACTCCGTCCCTGCAGGAGAGGTCTGCGTGTGACAGAGGAAGGTCTGCAGAGCACAGCCCCCGCTCAAATGCTAGGGGCCAAATGGCTAAAAGCAACTTTCCTGTAAAGGAGCCGGGTATCTTGGTGGGAAAAAAGTTTAACAGGCTGAGGGGTGTGCTTCTGCAGTGAAGGCTGTCAGCAGCACTCCGAGCTGCATTAGCCAGAGCTGCTGGAAAGTGATCCTGTCGTCCTCTTCTGCATTCGTGATGCTACCTCTGGGGTACTGTGTTCAGCTGCGGGCTCCCCAGCACAAAAAGACAGTGACAGACCACAGGGAGTCTAGTACCTTTTGACCAAGATAGTCAGAGTTCTAACGCTTAAAAAGCACAAAAAAGGGGCTGAGAAAAAAATGGGTTTGCTCAGTCTTAAGAAGGCAAAAGGTAGACCTCAAAGCTTCATTTAGTACCAAGTACAAAGAGGGAGTATGTGGAGTGGCCTGCATGTAAACATGCACAGAGCCCTTACACTTCGTGTGATTTGGAGCAAACTTCGCTGTCTCAGTGAAATTCCTCTCCCCTGCCTCCAACAACAGCAGCACAAATGTCTCTGCCCACTGGCTCACCTCTGCTGCCTTTCCGGATGCTGGAGAGACAGAGAAGTCTGCTTATCCTCAGGAAGAAGTCAAACCGTGCTGAGAGGATCCGTTCTCATTTGCCTACGCTGCAGCAAAGCAGGATGCTGTTTATCTTCTTTACAGGAGCAAGGAATCCTAACTGGGAGGACATATCAGTAGATGAGTTCACCTTAGTCTGCCTCAGGGTCATATTTTGGTGCCCTTTTGTTTCAGAGGCAAACCCTGAAGGCAACTCAACCCATATCACATACCATGGCTTGGAGGGAATGCCTGCTGGCCGCAGAGGCAAGAGTGTGAGCAGGAGCGCATTGCTAATGCAGGTCATCAATTAGCTGAGGAATTGGTGTTGGCAATAGGTTTTGGGGCTCTACAGCCACGGGGCTCTGTATAGAGTTCAGTGTCTGCCTGGGGGAGACGGGATCCACCGCACCAAAAGGGCAAAGGAATCTTTGCCAATAGGAAGCTTGAGCTTCTAATGGGGCGGGCTTTAAACTGGGGCAGGGGGGGGGG